GCAAAGACCCTTAGAGTGGAAAAACGCATAAAATGAACATCAGCTTTTACTCATTTAGGTTTATTTATTTAAGCACACAACCTGCCATTAAAGGCATTTTTCTGACGGCCGTTATACTATAATTCCTACCGCTTCCTTTCCTTGACATTATGCATCTCTTTCCGATTTTGTGTCTCAGTTTCTTCACATGTAGAGAACTTGCGATTAGCTTTCAAGAAAATAAGTAACCCTTAACCAATTTGGTGTTTGAAGTGGCTCTAGGCTTATTGCGTTTTTATTAGATTAAAAAGATTTAATGAGATTTTGCAGATAGCAAAATTGCTAATAGCTAATAGCAATTTGTTTGCCAACATAGGTGTGAAGTAGCGACATTGTTTTTCGCAACAAGAAGCGCTTAAGTAGATATTTGGCTGAGCGTGCAACCAGAAGTACATAGCACTCTGCCACACTTCCTGGTAGTATGATGCAGACTATTTAGACCCAAATTGCCAAGTATTGTTAGCTCGCCACTAATGGAAAAGCACTTCTTGCAATGCTCTTAAGAGAGCAGTGTTTGCGATTGAAAACAGAAACCTCAACGCAAATGAAAATTACTTTATTTTATTGAAATGGCGTTGAGAGCATAACGCACATGGTAAAATGACCGATCCTTTAAGAGAAACCGAGTAAATAAAATGGCATGCGACATCATTTAATTCAAGCGTAAAGAGATCAAAAGGTATGGCCAAGAAGCTAAGTAATGAAACTCACGAACTCTGCTACTCAGTATAGGCGTCTAATGTAAATCGGGCCCAGAATGTAATTGCTTGTCTGAAGCGACTGCAACTCCACTTTAAAGGCAAATCACAAGTGATTAAGCATTGGTGAATTTAAATGTGTCTAGAAAAGAATGTTAAGGCACTTTACTATGGGAAGAACACAGAGTTTATTCAAAAACTAGAAATAAAAATAGCGCATACAAGTCAACTTGTAAAATTATGCAGAAAGATTGAACAGTGTCCCTGGGAGTTTGTGCTGCCCATCAGTGTGACAACTTTAGGCCTGATCGCAGTAATCCACAATGTGTCACATTGCCCTTCAATGGTGATCTGATTAATTACAAGTTTTAAGATACATCTAAATATGACTTAGAAAATAGTTATTTATTCCGATTCCAACATGAATAAGGGGGAATACTAAAGATTGGATCCGTATATTCCCTAGGGTAACAAGTTTGCAGTCCGAAAACTTCACAATAATTCGTCAAAATATACTTGTCATTTTAAAGATTTGGAAATCAAATCATATGCACTTTATCAAAATAGTGCGTGCTTCTT